CATAATTTCTTATCGTAATTAACTCGTGAGTTTCTTTCCCTATTTTTTTCTCACTCCTGATGAAATCGGCGATATTCGGTGTGAACAGTCCTAGCATTCTATTTTGCACCTTTCGTAGCGTTTCGATACCTGGTAATGGCCCGTTAAATTTTTTTCTCTAAAGTTTCATACGTTTTGTTATGATGTCACTTATCCTTTCTCCTTCCTGATCTCTGTTTCCGGGAATCATTTCATCTCATTTCCTCATGAAACTCCACTAGTTTCTCTTTTTTAAAGCTTGAAATCGTTATAGCGGGTGACTCCTCATTGAAAACTACTAGCTCGCTCGAACATCACCTTTTTAAAATGATGTTTTAATTACAACCCTTGTAATCAGCAAATCATTAGCAGATGTAACCAGAGCATCGCGCATTTCGGAAGGCACCTTCCAGAATTGATGTATGCCCGGAAAGCAGTTTTGATACCCTTTTAGTCTTCGAGAAGATTCCCTCAGATGAAGTCGTCTTGGTGCCCGAGGAAATGGTGGTCGAAGGGGGAGAGGTTTGCTGATTATGACATATGAAGCAGAGCTTCCTAGCCTAGTTGCTTCAGCCGGTGGAGTGTCCGGTGTGCGGCATGTGGCTAAACACCACTGCGTAGGGGGATTGGACACGTGACCAGATATGTTGTTTTGAATGCGTCCTCTTTGATTATTGCCGTACGTTTCTCCAATTCCAAGAAAATCTGCGATCTTCCTTTCTTTCGAAGGAAGATGTACCACTTAGAAAGATTGGAAGCAGCTTCGCAGTATCCATTCGATCACACTTTCTCAGCATAAAGTGTGATGGTGTTTCAGGCGGCTCCTGCTGCGATGCCCCGAAGTCTCGGTTCACGAAAGCGAACTTGACAAAAATTCTATTTCGGCATGTTTCGTTCCAAGACTAGAAATTTAGTACAAAAGTAAATTTCGTTCAAAATGGCCATGAAATTTGCTACAGAAAGATGTACAACTTCTTATACCCCTGATAAGAAAAACCGGAAATTTTCTGTGCCGAAGATGATGCAACGGAAAACGCGCATTATTTTCGCACCAACCTAGTGATTGTCGCTAAGGTATTTATTGGATTTGGAGGGTCATTTTCACAGTTCTTTAACTGCAAAATATACGGCTGATGCAGTTGCTATCTAGTGAAGTGACGAATTTCTCCGTGGTGAACATCGCTGGCAGAGGCGCGGTATGTACGGCGCACCATCAAACGCGGCTATTAGGGAGCGCCGCGGCGAACTGGTGTCGCCCGGATGATCTTCGGTGGTCCGGGGTGCAGGCTTCAAACCTGTAGGCGGTTAGCAGCCGCAGTGGTTCGATTCCACCTTCCGGGTGTTGTCTTTTTAGGAGAAAGTAGTGGGTATCCACTGCTCCGTTGTCATCCAGTGATTCAAAATCTTAGAGGTGAACTGGTAGGAGTGGTTCGATAATTGTTGAAATGTCGATTTTTAGGCAGCTTTCGATCTACATGGA